TGTAGAGACAGGGTTTCACCATGTTGACCAGGATGGTCTCGATCTCTTGACCTCGTGATCCACCCGCCTCGGCCTCCCAAAGTGCTGGGATTACAGGCTTGAGCCACCGCGCCCGGCCTAATTCTAACTCTTATAAAGGAAAAAAAAGAATAAAGCTGCCAATAACTTATTTTAGAGTACTTTAGATGTAGATAACATTTATAATACTGGGTTTCATAATATCTTGTTTTATTACTTCCTAATTTTAAAGTAACAGATTACTTCAAAATAAACCCAAACCATTTAGTGTTTTATAATTAAATTTCAGACGCCAAAAAATGTAGATCAAGGGTTACAAAACAGGCATCCTTCAGAATATATTTTGTTTAGTAGGCAGAATGGCTTGTAATCTTTTGAACTGGAAAGCCTTCAGGAAGTACTTACTTGCTATCAAGGACCCTGCCAGCTTCCCACATTGTTACCTGATGGGCATGTGAAAAGACTGACACCCTATTTTCCATATTATAAACCCAGTATTTACTTATAAAAATTAGTTGTAGTCACAGAGCAAAAATTCAAATGCTGTAAACAATGCTAAATCTTACTAGTTATATCTCTAATTTGGAAAAAATATATCAAACCAAAAAGGTCTCATTTTCATAATACTTCCTTACATAAATTATGACAGACATTTGTATATATATATATATATATATATATGCTCTTAGAAAGAATACTGTTATAAGTAACCTGAAATCTGGGCTAGATAAACCATTCACATGGAACACAACTGTATATAAGTCTTGGCTCCCAAACAGTGGCTTTCAACTTTGTGTATATGACATAAAAATTCTCAAATATTTGAGTTGAAAGAAAGGTGACATTAATAAGGCAAATAAAAATAAGTGTCAAAGGTTATCTTCAAATCCTAGAGAATGAAGCAAAAAGGGAGATATCTTGTAAGACAAATTAGAAAAGAGGAAGAATTTCAAGTAAATGTGGCCTTAGACCTTTTACACCGCTACTCCCTAAAATTGTACAAGGTAAAGGCCATAAAATACTTGTTCCTTCAAGGAAAGCAAAGTAGAAAACACAAAAGGAAATATAAAAATGTGTAGTTGTGAAAGAAATCAAGAGATGATGGTACTATCTCCAGTCCGGTGCTTAAAAAAACACCAATGAATAATAAATGTATTAAAAAGATAGTAATCTATTAGGTCTTTTTTAAGTTATACACAAATAAAAACTAATCTCTAATTCTTTAGAGGTTTAAATTTGAGAGAGAATACCTATTTACCTTTAAATTTGTCTCACTTCTTTAGAAAACTGAATCCCATCTAAATAAATATTTCAAAATTCTTAATTATCAAAGGCAGCTTCTTAGCTATGCTTTGATAATGCTATATATATTAATAATAAAGCTTCACTGCATTAATCTCATCAATACCATGGTTACAACAATCAAGTTCATTTTATAGGCATTAATTAAATTGGCCATCACCATACTACATTATTGCAATGACAAAGATATTGGGTAAACTTTTTCAAGACAAATTACATTGAAATGATTATTTTGAAAGTTTTTAGTAACAGGGAGAAAGGGGAGAATTACAAACATTGAAAATTTGTTCCAACACAAAACAGAATGTCCAGGATCCTATATAAATGAAAGTATCAGCAAATAGGGTACCATCTTTGTCTATGAATGATGTTCTCCACAATGGACTTACAAGTTTTAAAAATTCCACTAAGAAGACACTGGTTAAAGTTTATATCTGACATATTTCTAAAAACATCTGTTAGTAGTTTGCCATAAAACTGATTTAAGGTAGTTGTGTTTTTCAGTAGCATTTAGAATAACCCAACACTTGGTAGAAATACTCAGCTCAGCACACTGTATTAAAACATAATTGTACAACATTGGATAAATTAGCTGCAATTTTCAGTAGCTATGTTTACCAACCGTGTAACAGAATTATAATGTTCTCCTAAGCCATATGCATGTCTCATATATCTGAAATTAAAAAAAAGAAATGAGTAGTTTTGATGAAATGAGTTTTGATCAAAGTAATTTACTGTGCATGTGTGTGTGTGTGTGTGTATGTGTATAAATATATATATATACACACACATACATACATATATATACATATATACATATATCTTTCTCATATATATATATATATATATACACACACACATACACACACACACACACACATGCTTATTATGTATATATAAACCAATGATTCTGCATGACTCAGTCCACATGGGTATCACTCAATAGACTACGTGGACATATTAATTAAGAGTTCAACGTCATTTGCAAAGTGGTAGCAGTCACCAAGATCTGGTTCAATCACTGGGGGTAAAATGAAAAGGCTTAGATGCTGAGGGCTCAATAAGCTTAAATTGTCACCTAAGTCTTAGCCATTGATGACTACCTTAATAGGTTTAGCTAAAAAATACTAAAGCCAATAGCAAACCCTGCATGCTGTATTTCAGAAGAGATTTCTCAATCATGTAAGATATTTTCATAAAATGAAGAAAAAAGATCTAAGGAATAAACAGGTAACATGAATATATTTCAACTTTTACACTTGTTGAAACTTTTAGCACTACTAATGTCAAACCAGGACAGTATACAAACTAGCCCTAAAATTTTGTAACCTTTAGAAATGACTTTATTCTTAACTCACACACAAGAATACATCACTACAGGTTTAAAAAATTATCTAAGTCATATATTTTAACATATATATTCTAAAATTTTTATATTCCTTTTTGTCTTAATTGTGAAAAATAAAACAGTAAAAATATCTAGGTACTTACACAAGTATTAGTGGTTTTTGTGAATATTCTTCACCAACTATAATGGGAGGAGAATCTGCCTGTATTATCTCTATTGGTGTTTGTAAAATGTGAGACAGAGCTCTTAGCTACAGGAAGAAAAAAAAGTATGAGTAAGGAAAATAAAAATGTACATCATATTCAGATAGTAAACTACTGAAGTATGTGTGAATGGGCAACCAGTCAGAGCAGGGATATGCTCTGTTCACTACTATACACAGAGAGCCTGGTATATAGTGGGCACTTAATAAATATTTGTTGAATAAATAAATATAATCCAGGTTGACTATCCTTCATCTTAAATGCCTGAAACCAGAACTGTTTTATATTTTGAATTTTTTTTTCCAATTTGGGAATATTTGTATGTATTACATGAGCTATCTTGGGGATGGAACTCAAGTCTAAACACAAAATTCATTCATGTTTCATACATATCTTACACATATAACAGGAAGGCAGTTTTATACTACATTTTAAATAATTTTGTGCATGAAATTAAGTAGTGAACCTGTGACCTGTCACATAAAGTTAAGTGTAGAATTTTCCACTTGTGATGTCATGTCAGCCCTCAAAAAATTTGATTTGGGAGCATTTCAGATTTCAAATTTTCAGATTAGGGATGATAACCTTGTATTTATTAAATCAAATGCAGAGACTGCTCAAGCGCTGCCTGCACAAAAGCTTTGTAAAAAAATATCAATGCCACTGTTAATGAAAAGGGGCAATGGGTAGATTAGGTATATTATATTAGTCTCTACTTTTGAATATGCTTGAAAATGTCCCTAACAAAAATATTTTTAAAATACCATTGCTTAAGCATTAGATCAAATCAATTACAATGTGAGAAAATGGGTAGAAGGGAAGAATAACATATATATTTCTTTTTTTAAGTTTTTCAGATGATTCTAAGCTACAAACACTGTTGATAACCACTGTTCTATAATTTTCAAAGCAAGAATAGAATGAAATATGTATATGAATTATACTGCCCTATCAACAAATTTCCATCTCATTAAGATATACAATTTTAAGTAATTTTATACCATACAATAGAAAACTAGAGCCTAAAGCCAGATGAATAATGGTGAATAATGAACATTAATGCTAACATGTTTTAAGACTTATTACAATTATGGCCAGGCACAGTGGCTCACACCTATAATTCTGCACTTTGGGAGGCCAAGGCAGGCAGATCCCTTGAGTCCAGGCATTCGAGACCAGCCTGGGCAACATCGTTAAACCGTCTCTACAGAAAAATACAAAAATTAACTGGAAGTGATGGATCACTTGAGCCCGGGAGGCAGAGGTTACGGTGAGCCAAGGTCATGCCACTGCACTCCAACTAAGGTGACAGAGTGAGACCCTGTCTCAAAAAAAAAAAAAAAAAAAAAAGACATTATGACAAAGCACTCATGTACTTTAAGTACTTTATGTGTATTAATTCCTTTAATCCTCTCAATAACTTTATGGAATAGGTACTATTATTTTAAAGACTTAGCACCTGAGGCAAAAAAGGGTTATGAGACTTGTCAAAGTCAAGCATTAGCAAATTAAATGGCCTGCACAGACCTGAAGAACTTTGATTCTAGAGTCCAAGTTCATAAACAAATTAATCATTAACAGTTTTCAATCATAGTGTCAGCTGGTGGTGGTGGCTCATGCCTGTAATCCCAGCACTTCAGGGGGCTAAGGTGCCCTAAACTCACTTGAGCTCAAGCGTTTTAGACCAGACTGAGCAACACAATGAGACTCTGTTTCTACAAAAAACACAAAAAGTAGCCAGGCATAATGGTGCATGCCTGTAGTCCCAGCTACTCAGGAGTGGGAGGATCACTTAAGCCTGGGAGATTGAGACTACATGGAGCAATTATCAATAGCATCACTGCACTCCAGCCTGGGCGACAGAGTGAGACTCTGTCTCAAAAAGAAGAGAAAAATCATAATGCCGTGATCTATGGAGCACTATGGGATATGTACTTGCCCCATTACAGGAACATTCCATCAATGAACATAGCCCTTCCTGAGGTTTTGAAGAATGTAAGAAATTACTTTAAAAATATGGAAAGGGCTCTGCTGCATGGTAGCAAATCAAAAATGTTCCTTTGAAGCACATTTTTCTTATATCTAATATAACATTTTTAAGAAACTAGCATAAACCAAACTCTGGAAATCCCACCATCCCTTCTAACTTCAGGAATCATAGAATGATTTTCTCTTTAATAACTTAAATGTACCCTATTGTGAAAACTGCAACTTTTACTTCAAATGAATTCAGAGATGAAAAAACTGTATGAGTAATTATCCTTCAAAAGATGTTTTAAAAGGCTTTTCTTAGTTCAAATAGAGTTGATTTAATCTCTAATACTCATATGAGTGATCGTTATAAGAAAGTTCAAGCATTTTTAACTATTCCTAATGTAGTAACAAAGCTACTATGAAAACTTCTGAGTTTCAGAGGCATATAAAGCTAATGGATAGAGTTCCCTCTGGTGGAGATGCACATACACAGCACTACTAAGAAAAAGATTCGGGGGCAACATTCATGTCACATCTTCAAATGAAGCAGTTCTTAAAGTGAATTATTTAGAGCCACAGACTATTCATGATAATTAAATCTTCATTATATATTACTAATTGCACCATGTAGGTTCATCCATCTGGTACTTCAGCTTACAAACTTTTATGCAGGTACTCTCTGCCTTACTTAATGTTCAAAAATGCTCAACTGAGTACACAGAGAGGGTTTATTATGGCCATACAGTAATCAAGAAACTTAAGCTTGGCAGGATGGCTGACACCCCTGTGGCCACAAAACAGAGAGGTGGAAGGAAATGCCAGGACCTGAACCTAGGACTTTACTTCTTATCCTGTCTAATACCCAGGCTGCTTCATCACCATCTGGTCTACTTAACTATTTTATTTTAACAAAACAAAGTTAACAGTAAGATTTTTTAAAATTAGAGCTAAAAAGAAATCTTGGTAACTTTCTATAAGTGACTGAACATACTGTTTTCTTACATATGAATTTATTGCATCAACTACTACTTTCAAGTAAGTCAGTCACAATCGATTAGGAATTGAAAACACAATTTTAATACATATGCTGTGGTATGATTTGGGCTATAATTTCATATAAAAATGTCTTTTTCACTTCTGATGTAAAAAATATATTTTTCCAATAGTCACTTTGATCAGTTGAGCTACTACGGTAAATTTTACTTTACTTCAGTAAAGTCTTCACTTTCCTAAGTGCAGAAAATCAAATGTATTGCCAGTAGCAGCATCGCAATGAAAAGACTTACACAGATGTACCTCCAACAAATAGATCTAACACTGAGCTTTTTAAAATGAAATAGTGCTTCAATCCACATACTTTAATCACAGACCTAATGATGTTAACTACCTATTTCTTTTTCAGTTGAGAATAGCAAATATATAAAAAAACGAATCTTCAAAGAGAAATTGGGATCAGCTGAGAAACATCTTAAAACTACAGAGGGGATTCAGAAATAATTTAACAACCCACAATCACTATGCGTAACTACAAACTTACCTCAAGCTGACCTCCCCATGCGGCTGTGTTTACAATATCATCACAGTACTTCTGAAACTCTTCTGTAGAGAATAGGTCAGAATACAGCATTTAATAATTTTTTGTAACTTATGTTACAAGATCCCTTTTATAGTTCCCACAATTTCTGACAAAAATGCCCAAGTTATGAACATTCTCCTTCTTTACCAGTATCCCCCATAATCTAATCCACCTCCCAAATCCAAATTTAATTCACCCCAACTTTCTACCACATTTTCATCCAAGAATAAAGCAGTTCATTCCTGCTTTATTTCTTCCGTCAGAGTCCCAGATACCTTCTCTACCTAACAAGCCTACCTCACTCTACCCCAAGCAATGACTCCCAAAATTGCCACCATATTCACTATCTTGACCTGTGTTATGAAGCCCAAACCTGCATCCAAAGGAATACATGTAAGACCAAAAAAAAAAAAAAAAAAAAAAAAATGTAGTCCCTGTATAATCAGGTTCACTGTAAGACTCTGGAAAATGTACGAAGAAAATCTGAGTAAAAGTACAGATTAGTTGAAATTCCTTCCCCAGAGATAGCATCAAACAGCGCCTCCACTTGTTATTTTGGGAGCACTTACATTATTTGCATAAATATCAGTTCTAGCTAAGGAAAGGGCTTTTCAGATCAACCCTGAGAAGTAAAAGACCTAGTCACTAAATTTACAATGGATATATTTTGTGAATACACCTTTTTATGTAGCATGTTAAAATGGTAAACAATTATCCTTCCCACAAAGATAGAGGGAAAGAAATTATGGACATCTAAAAGAAAAATATGTCTCGTGTTTGTCTCATTCCCTGTTAAATCTTCAGTGTTCAGAACAGTGCCTAGGATAGTGCTGTGCAGTGGCCTTCAATTAATATTGGTTGAATAAATGAAGATAATTAAGTCTTTTGTGTTTTTCTCTGACTCAGCATACTGAACTGCCACCTTCTCTATGCCCTACAACTAGTGCAATTGGGGGATTTCAATGATTTGGTAATCATTTGGGAGATTAATGACAGAAAAGTCATTTATCACATTGCCTCAGCATATATCAAGATACATGGAAAAATGAGTTTTATGTCCCATAGCAAGTTCTGTTTAATTAGAAAACAGCAATGACCTAAAACAGCAAGAGATAAGCTAACATTTCCAATATGCCATCTATGGGAAATTAATTTGCTACAGAATTAAATATGCCTAAGTCATTCTTGAGATCTATCAACAGATACCACAGGCCATACACACTAAAGGAGACATACTTGATTGCCAATGCTCATTCTTATCCATTCTGCATCACTCTCTACCTTCCCTCCACGGAGGGCAGACTCCACTAAAGGAAAGTCAGCCTTAACCTTTCTCTCTCCAACCCATTTTGGCCATATGACTTGCTCCCAATGGACACTGCCAAACCTGCCACCTTCTCTCAAGGACTAACAGTCCTTTATTCCATTCTTTACTCCTCCAAAACCTGTTCAGATTTTTACTTGCTCTCTTCCTCATCTGCTAGTTGTATACTTTTTACTTCATCATAAATATTTTAACTGTGGAAAGTACTATACATAACAAAGCAGGTTATTAATTCATTTGTTTTGGTTTTGCAAAATCAAATTTTACTTGAATACTAATCTTCGTAATTATAGCTTATTGAGAATAAAAGTAAAATTCCCAAAGTATAGGATAAAAGGAGGAAATAGTTTTCCTAGTCATTCTCTCCTTATGGTCTTCAGACCGTATATGTACTTCTTCAAGCTTATCTTCCTCAATACTTAACTTCATCAAATATAAACTTACTTTTCAAAAATGATTAATCTTATTCCTATTTTATCTTACATAAAATGATTAACATATTCTAATTACAAAATAACTAATTTAAAAATCTTAATAAAGAAAAATATACCAACATCTATTAAAGTACATAAAATAATCCTGCCTAAATCTTGTGATGTTTTTCCTCATAAGGATCATATGGGCTCTTCTTACGCTCAGTGCTAGGAAGCACTTTATTTAAAAAACAACAACAGCAACAATGAAAAGTAGTAAAGAAAAATAAATTACCTGGAGTATACATATCTCCTGTATTAGGGTTTGTTAAAAATGGCAGAAAGTCATCCACATGGCTTTGCATATACTCAGCGGTCTGACTTCTTAAGGCAATCACAGTCAGAGCACAATCCTTTTCCTTCAGTTGATCTTCAATGGCTCTATACATACAGTGGCCATCCGATGGAATCTGTTTAATTTCTAACTGTCTAGCTGCCAATATCTGAGCAAGTTTTTCACTTTCCATGTGTCTGGCTCCTGTTAAGTTTTCAATTTCAGCTTCAGCTATCCGTTCTTCTCGCTCCTTTTCCAATGCAGCTTTCTTTTCCTAAGAAAAGGAGAATGCAGGAAAGTTAATTCATAATGATTACGACTAATTCTCATTTATTAAGGGAATGGAGATGTAAAGGTCTCAAAACTTTTTGGTGTCTTTCTCCCTTCTCCCACAAGCACTATCACATTGATCATCTCATTGTTTAAAGAATTTTCTACAAGGTGAGCTCCTGTAAGGGCCTGCTATCTTACTCATCTGTGTGTTTCCTACACCTTGCTCTATACTGGACATTAAGAGAGCCCTCTAGTTCTTCTTTGAAGTCTATTTAAAAACTACATGCCAAGTTTCTAAAAACTTTACTTACTGATTTCAAAGTATTATCTTAAGACTGAGCTATCCTAGGCCTTCAAGCACATTGTTATTATATTAAAGCCCAGGCTAATCCAGCCTTCTTATCACTCCACCAGTAACATGTTAAGATGACACAGCCTTTAGAAGGGTACAGGCAGACACTATTTTTATCTAGCATTTTAAAATGTATGTATATGCATACATTTAATTAACAAATATTTTACAAAAAATAAAATATAACAGATAAAGTTCCCCCTAAAACCACTGCCATCCAGTGCTTGGTCTAGGTTTGGTATGTATCCTTCTAGATTGCTTTTCTATTCATTTTCATAAATATAGTATACTCTTGAAACGTGCAAATTTTTAATAAAAATGGTATCATATGTCACATTCTGCAATTTGCCTTCCTTACTCAAATGTCTGCAGAGCTCCTACCATGGAAACATATGCTAGGATGGAGTGGGGTGAAGGCAATGAGAGATCTGTGACATAAAGAATAGACTGGAGGTGTGGAGGGAAGACTGGGGAAGAAGGAAGTGAAAAAATTCCTGACAGATGGACTAGTAATGATCAAAAGCCAGAAAGCACTATATGTTTCGTAGCTAAAAACAGTTCATAGAGCTAGAGTGCCAGAAAAAAAGTGTCAAGAGATGAAATCGGAGGCAAAAAAGATAGGCATATAGTTAGTATGCAGTAAGTCTACACTTAACATAGTACTAAAAAGAAACTAGAATATATGCAAAATACAGTTCTTTTCTCTGGATGACGGGATTCCAAAATAAATTTTATTTTGGGGGGGGGGTGTGTGTGTGTATGTCTGTATGTTTTTCTGCATCTTTCTAATTCTCTACCATATATTTTGTTTGTACACTCAAAGGGAAACTGCTTTATAATTTAAGAATAAAAACAAACTAAGTTATATAAATCTTGATATTAGTAATAAGCTTCAGTGAAGGATTTGGTAAGCCAAGACTAGAAAAAGGTAAAGGCTTCCATACCTCTAGCTCTAATTCCTCCTTGAAACAAAAGTGAATGGGAAGGCAAGTTTCAATCAAACTTATTGTCATATACTTGTACTACTTGCCGTTATGTGCCATGCTAGATGAACCTAAAGTGATTTATAAGCTACCTGAATCAAAACCAGCAACATCTCCCTAATAAAACATAGCCTATTCAAGGTTTTACCTCCCAATTCTGTAATATAAGTAACAGGAACAAATTTATTTCACTACACACCTAGAACTGTGGATCACAGAGGCATAAAATCTTAAAACACAAGATGGCACTATTACTTTATAAAAGACTAAAAAAGTTTCAGAGGGGAGAGGAAGAATAAGCACCTTAGATATCATCTAATCCAAAACCCCTCATTTTCCTCTTCTGAGGAAACAGCACGAAGAAAGATTTCCAAAGGCCACACAGCTGGTAAGAGCAGAGCAGGGACCAAGGACAACACAGAGAGCTCCTTCTATCCAGGCACCTGAATCAGAATAAAAGTTGGAGCAGATGGGAGCTGGAGTTAATGATGTCATGTACTATTTACTGGAAGAGTGGCACTTTATCCTATCTGTAAAACTGTTTAAGCCTCTAAAATATGAATCCTAATCATTTCATTTTTTCCCTTCATGCTTTGCTTCAGTAGAACAAAACAACTGAGTTTCCTTTTCAGAGCACTAGATAAGAAATTCACTGGATTCTTTTTCCAGCAATGCATAGTTTCCCAAAACCACTAAGCACTTTGGTTTCTACAGCTATAGTACTGGAGATAGAATTGTACCAGTAAGTTCTAATAAAAATGTATAAAAGGTGATAACAGCAAGTAAATCATAAATATATAGTAGATAAAACTAGAGTCATGTTGATATAGTAATATAGCAAAGACAACTCAAAGAGAATATTAAGAGCTGGACACCCGTCCTGGGTTTGTATCAAAGTTTTAGTGTACTATTGCGATAACCTGGATATCTGCTTTCTCATTTGTAAAATAAAGAACTCAATCTCATTCCAGTTCTCAAATTTCATATTTTTAGAAACCAGCACTTCTAAGTTGTATTTTAGACTCTTTCTATCTTATCAAAAACCTTCTAAGTTTTTTGAATTAAATAAAACACTATGTTTTTCCAGACTAAAAATAAGATATGCTCTAAAATATTCCACAACATTCTTACAGTAAATCTGTATAAAGTTTTGTTTTTCTTCGAGAGTTGTATCTTTCCCAAAGATAAACATCATAAATTAACTGACTTTTCATTCCTTGGTGCTTCTGCAAAACAGGAGGTACCAAATTATCTAACACCTGATTGTGCATCCTGACTTCAGGTTCCATTTTCTCAAATGTTATAAATGTTTAATGTTTTCTGTTCTAAAATTCCATTAACATAACAATGTAAAAGCATGACTTGGACATTTTTTCTGCCAAGTATTAAAGCAGCTGACTATAAAAGATACTAAATGTTTTAAGAGGATAGCTGACAAAGGTACATTTTCAGTTGTGCAGTATTTTAGGGGAAAAGTAACAAAATTTTTGAGAAAGGCAAGGGAGTTTTCATTCTGTTTGTTTTGTTGTCAGAGATCCAGCTGTGGGGGAACAAGTTTTGATAAAGACAGGAAGAACTTGTGCCCTTATGTTTTCCAGAATTAGTTAGGCTATTGTAAGATGTTATCAATTACTAAGTCGGTGTTGTTATGCTACTGGCATGCAAAAATTTCGCCCTTCCTTTTTAATCTATAGAATCTACATGACAATTGTGAGAGCATCACAAAAGTGCATATCATAAGCAAACAATCTCTAAGATTCCATGAGATCTAAAATTTATGAATCTACAAAAATCAGAATTATATTTACTCAAGAATAAAATTTTATACAACAGTGAGAAATGTTTGACTATGAGCATTTCATCAACTTTCAAACAAAAAAAGACATTGTTTTTAGGTTTAATTTTTTAAGAGGCATACTATGCACTACTTAACATAGTAAACAATACTATCATTTGTTGACTCATTAATTCTACAGGCCTGTGTTAAGGGCTTTGGAAATAATACATTATTTAATATTCAAAATGAAGTACCTTATGAAGTAGCTATCACTTGCCCCCATTTTATAGATGTGAAACTGAGGCTTAAAGAACCTTACCCAAAGTATAATAGTAAATGAAATTAAAACCTCATCTGTTTGACACTAAACTCCATGCTCTACTAAATTACATACTATGTCATAAGATGCAAAACTAGTTTAAAATTATGCATTTAAACAATAGAAAACATCGAGTGCTAATAAAATAATACTCATGACTAAAAAGACTGAATTTATTCATTTTTTTTTTTTTTCAAATTCAAGGGACTTACCTATCTAATCTCATTTCCATAATGCTGATATGAACTGGCTACTTCCAATAAATCAGTTTCCATATAGCTCCTCAATAATGCAATATATTATCCTCACATTTGTTTTGTGCATGCTGTTTCTCCTATCTGGAATATCCTATCTAAATAATATTTCTTTCAAATTCCAACCCATTATTTAGAACATTCCCTTCTCTAAATTTTCATAATTAATCATTATATAGATACCTACACAATTCTCTAAGAATTTTGTGTACCTACATGTGTTAACTTCTAGGTTCAAATCTTTATTTCTCACCCAATGGTATAGTTCTTAGCCAGGGTTGTACATCATATCATCTCGGCCCACATTCTGAATTTTTAAATCTGGGATAATATAAACTACTCTCATTCCCAGCTTCACTTTCCTATGAGAACTGCATCCTGAATATGTTATTTTATATTCTCTTAGGACCATTTTCTTCTCCATAAAATGGGATAAAAGATCCTACTTCACGTGATTATTGTCAGGACTAACTGAGATTTCATATAAGCAGCTTAGCATAGTATGTGACACACAGCAGGTGCTTAATAAGTGTTAGTTCAAGTCTGTTGACAAGCAACTGCATCTTTTTTTTTTTTTTTTTTTTTTTTTTTTTTTTTTTTCCTATAACAAGACCAAAGATAGTACCTAAGATAGTATTGAACACACAGCACTAACTTATAAACTTGGTGACATGACTTTCATACCCGTCTCTTTTGTGCTTTAGATATCCGAGGTGGCTGATTCTCAAGTACCAAGTTTGAAATGTTAACAGCAACAGAATCTATCTGAAGGAAACAAAAAGCATTAACAAGTCAATGAAAAATACTTTTTAAATTATTGAAAATCATAAATATATCTAATCCCGCATTTCAAATTTGAACAGCAGTAGACACTGTTTTAGATAACATGTTTTGTCTCCTGTCTCTATTTTTATGGAAAAATTTGACAAGTTCCCAAGAAGTTTTCTTACAACCATTCAAAGATCATGCTCATCCCTGCATGCCTTCCTTCTTTCTTAGAATGCCTACTCCATTAATCTCAATGCAATACTGTACCTCCTGTAAGTGCCAACTCATTCAGCACTCTACTCTGCTTTTCTCTGACTACTGATAGTATATATAAGATAAAGGTCCCATGCTGGCTCAGTTCATTATTTACATGCATAACCTCAATGTGGCAGGAGAAGCCCTTTTCCATCTTAATTAGCCAGAACTTGATGAGTACTAATCCTTGATCCTAGTATTGAGCTTATCCTACCCTACCCTTTTCCATCTACAAGCTGATAACTGCAGGCAGAAAATATATTTAATTTATAATATCATTTGATATTATAAGCAATCCTAATACTCAAATCACTAGTATGTGTTTGCTAGAGTAAAATAAAGATGTTGGACTTTTAACTATAAAGATGAGTAGCTAATATTACTATAAGTTAAGCTAGTTTTTAGTATAACACATACATAGAACAACTCAAGGCCTTTAATACACAGAGACAGAGTCTCCAAAGGCTATATCACGAATGGTCAAAATATTAAAATTAGATAGAGACTTCAAAAAATGGTTATCAGCTTTAGTCAAATTAGGAATCTTGTGATTCTTCAGAGGAATCTGCTAAAATTTACAAACAACTATATTGACAATAGGCAAGATAACAGAGATGCAACTGAAAAACAAAAAAGCTATGGCATGAGTTTTGGTAGTATTCAGAAAAAAAAACCAATAGGACCCCACGTAGCTTACGAATCAAACATTTTTGTCCTTGGAAACCTGGGAAAGAAACCTTAAAACTGAAAGGTCTGCGAAAGCAAACAAAATTATCTCACTAATAGAAAAGATTGGAAGACAATTAGGAACACCACAACTGTCATGACACAATTTAACACCTGGAGTATCATGCCTTGTTACCTAGAGATGAAGTATATTAAGGGCAAAGAAAGTTGGGAAATTTAGACTATATTTAATGTAAAGACCATTGTAAATTAGCAAAGACAAGCTGTACTTGTCAAAGGCAAACCAAAATGAACCAAATAAAATTTAAGTATGGCAGATAAGATTTTGCATAGACATAAGAACTTTCTAACTATCATAGATGGAGTGAGGCTGTGGAGTCTATATGGCCCCTTTACATCCAAAACCTATACAATGAATACCACACTACACAAAGCTATGACAGAATTCAGTATTCACTTCCTGGAGTAAGATAGTTCTCATTTGGAATGCTGGTTTTGGCAATTAACAGCTGTTATGACTTCTGGACAAAGTTCTTAATCTCTTTAAGCCTCTTTCCTACTTGAAAAATGGGATTATTTACACTTACCTCATAGGTAATACCTCACATTATGTTACTGAGGTTTAATGAGATAATACATATAAAACAACGTGCTTGGCACATATATATTAGTTCCAACGATAAAATAAATATTAGTTAAAATGATGAAAGGATGCTCCAACTTACCCAAAAAACATAAAATTTCAATTAAAACTTGTTTATAAAGCACTTTTATAATTTAAAAATGACTTCACGTTCATTTTCTTGATTCTTACAAAAATCTGTGCTTAGACAGCAGAAATATTTGTATTGTATTATACGTGTGGGAAAATTGAGCTCAGAAAGATTAAGTCACATTGCTCAGGCTACAGTCCCACTCAGTTGCAATTCTGGGATCAGATGTGTGGTCTTCCAACTTTCATTTGGTGCCAACTTCATCTTCTAGGCAAGTAAATAGGTAAAAGAAGTACAGCACTTTCTTGGTTCATCTCCCTTATAAAAACACACTGCCCTGTGAACCTGGTCACAAAAATCTTTTTTTTTGAGACGGAGTTTCACTCATGTTACCCAGGCTGGAGTGCAATGGCGCGATCTCGGCTCACCGCAACCTCCACCTTCTGGGTTCAGGCAGCTCTCCTGCCTCAGCCTCCTGAGTAGCTGGGATTACAGGCATGCGCCACCATGCCCAGCTAATTTTTTGTATTTTTAGTAGAGACGGGGTTTCACCATGTTGACCAGGATGGTCTCGATCTCTTGACCTCGTGATCCACCCGCCTCGGCCTCCCAAAGTGCTGGGATTACAGGCTTGAGCCACCGCGCCCGGCGGTCACAAAAATCTTAATGAGAAGTGATGCATAAGCATAACTAAGTGATTTCATTTCCCTACCAACTTCATGATTTTAGATAATAAGCAGTTTAACAGAAGTGCACAGCTGTTTTCAAATGGTGTAGGCAACGACAAACATTTCACATACCTTATTCTCCTTAATAGTCAGCTTCAATTGCTCCAGTTCTTCTCTATGCTTCTGTTCCATTTCTTTTTCCAACTTAGCCACATCTTCAGTGAGTTGCTTCCTCCTTTTCTTGTCATTCTTGGGAACAGCATTCTTCATACCCTGAATTTTGGCTGAAAAGCCATCAAAATCGTTAAGTCAGACACCCAAGAGTAAAAAGAGATGAAAAACAGGAATCAATAAGGGGATGGTAAGTGGAGAAAGGTAGAGAAAAAGTAATTATGGAAGCAAGAGTCATCACATAACAGACAGCTATAAAGAGAGAAGCGGCCTGATGAAGCTGAGACACACACACACACACACACACACACACACACACACTTCATTAACATAATCTTTACTATGTTTCAGTTGTTTCGTGAGATAAGAGGAGGAAAAAAACCTGACTGTAGCAAGTTTTAAATCTTTCAGGTATCCTTTTTAGGCCACCTAAACTGAGGCGAGGCCATTCAAAATACAACCATTAGAGCCAAATATCGGTAACTGGGGCAGGTATAGAAAAGGGAGGCATAGAGAGTTTGAGAGGGGACAAGTCTGGGTCCAAGATCTCGGTTTCAAGGTATTTTCAGACACTGGCACCAAGGCGGCGGCCCAGGGTAGGGGGCAAGCGGCAGGCCTCAGAAGGGGAAGCCTCTGAAGTCTGGGGAATTAAAGAGCCGACGGGGCGGGGAAGGGGGAGAGAAGAGGACACTTGCTACTAGGGGAAGTCTAGGGTGATCCAGATCAGTCATGCCTTAAGATTCCCCAGCACCGACCCGCCACGCGCCCTTCCCCGGGTAGGGGCGGCTTCCAGATTCCCACTTCCTTCCCCCTCACCCTGCAACTCCTTCTTCTCTTTGCGATGCCTTCTCACCAGCTGCTCTTCCTCATCAAGCTCTTCGGTCAAGACCGCCTCCATGACGACCAGGTACCCCAGCACACACTCTGGGAGAAACCTGCACCACCGGCTACTAGTCGCCTTCCACCCCTCAACCCTCACCCGGGGCTCCATTGGCTACTGCTGGGTCCCAGCCCCGCCTTCAAGGCGGCAACGAATCTAAGCCGAGCCACTACGAACAGGAGAAAACGGAATGAGGTGCTACGCGTGCGCACTACCGTGACTCCGCCGTGATGGGCGGGGCGGCAGGGGCGGAACCAGACTGCGAGCGGTAAAGCGGCGTTTGCAGCCTCCGATTTAACTAGAGCGCTAGAGCCCCTTCTGCCATAAAGCTACGCGCCAGGCTCTTAGCCGTGACAGTGAGGCGCGTTAGAGATGACGTAACAGGAATCGTTTTCAACGTCTATTTTATGCCATGCTTCAGAACACCTCCTTTAATCTTTGACTTTGGTCCCAGTTTCTAAGAAAAGTAACTGAAAAGGTGAGAAAGAAAAATAAAGCGTTTTAATAAATCCGTCGATAATTATCAATGGGAATCTTTGGGCTGTTTTGGGCCGTGTAGAATTAAATTCTGTTTGTTTCCAAAGTCGTAATACTGCCCCTCAGAAGAAAGGAACAGCGCTGAGTAATCGAAAAAATGCCTCCGGTTGAAACGGATGTAGATTTGGAAATAGAAGATATAGGAAGGATTGAGACTCATAGATGCAGAGGCTTAAAAACCTATGCGCGATGATAAAGAGGGTACTGTCAAAACGCTTGGAAAATACCAGGAAGTTGAGAGAGTTAAAAAGCGCAGGCTGAATTGGCCACAAAATCGAATTACTGAAGTAAGTGTAAAACAAGACAGATTGTCACCGAATACGGAGAAAAGAGGAACAGAAATTAAGAGGAGAAAAAGATCTAGAGGGCTGGTCAAGGAGATACAATCTACGCATAATAAGAAAATACCTGAAACTGGGGACAGAGCATGTAGAGCTGAAACAATTATTAAGGATCTAATTGAAAAAAATTTTCCAGAATTGAAGAACGAACTAGATCTACAAATGGAAAACGCTCACAGGGTACCTTTAAATTTTTATAAAAAAGAAAGCAACACCTAGACATATCCTGATGACATTTCTTAAAGATAAAGAGAAAAATTTACAAGCATCTGGACAGAGAAAGCAGGTTACCTACAAAGGGGCAAAAGTCAGGCTGACCTCAGATTTTTCTCTTGCAATTCTAAATGCCAGAAGACAATGTAACAATATCTACAGAGTTTTAAGGGAAAATAATTTTGAGCCAAGAATTATATACCCTGCAAGTTATCATTTATTTACAAAGGAAACTGGAAGACATTCTTAGATATACAGAGGTTAGGAAAGTATAACAACCAAGAACCTTCCCTGAAAATTTTGCTGAATGATTTACTGCAGCTAACAGAGAACCTGAATTAAAATAAGAATAGAGTGGCAATTGTATGAAAGAATTAATGGTACGCAAGAATTAATGGTATGCATTAAAACTAAGAATTGTTATGTATAGGGCATTAAAATTAAATACAAAAAAAATTAAACTGTGGAAAGGCATGCCACACGTTCAATATATTGGACAGATAAATACTGTTTTATTTTTAGCATATAGTATCGTAGATAAAAATATGCATGTTCTTAAGCTAAATCTAAGTAAAAGGGCTTTGTCACTGTAGATTGGACAAGTAACAGCATTCTAAATTTCAAATCTGACAAAATTCGAAAACAGTACAGTTTCATTTCCCTTACTTTTAAGTATAGCAGGAAAAAAAAAAAAATAGCAAGTTTGTCCATAATGTTACTACTGATATTGTAAAGAAACTTCCAAATCACTGGTTTGGGAGGGGGGCATAAATCCTCATTTTATGTACATGTTGCATGGGGAAAAACAGTAATTACTGCATCGTATAGTAGTTCATCTATGTAAATTTGACATTGAAATAGAATAGATACATTACAACGTTTTGGGTTGGAAAGGAGGTGGTAAAAAAATAAAAAAAATAAATAGCAAAAAGACATTAAAATTAGCACAAAGTAGATGACAGAATACAGATGACTTATAAACTGGTTAAATAGCTCTATTACAATTGAAATTGGGTCCAAAGTCAATCTCTAACCTAAGATACATTTGTATAAAACAAAGGATCAAAGAGTTTAAGGTAATGGAAACTATAAGTCAGAAATTGCAACATTTTGTTAAACAAAATCTAAACATAAGACATTTTATGTAAAACATACAGGATGTAACATTTAACAAACTATATGGTAATTACTATGACAATATGTAAAATACGGGTTTCATATCTTGATGTGGGTGATAGTTTTACTTATGTACATTGACATACATGTATTTAAAAACATGTACCTTTAAATTAGTGCATTTTATGTACCTAAAATTTATTTTGTAATCCTTCTGTATGTATTGTTAAAGAATATAGCAAAAATTATGTTGGACTATGACTTCAATATTTATGATTTCTTTTTTTAGAGACAAGAGGGTTTTGCTCTGTAGGCTGGAATGCAGTGGTAACATCATAGTTCACTGAAGCCTCCAACTCCTAGGCTCAAATGATCCTCCTGCCTCAGCCTCCCAAAGTGCTGAGATTACAAATGTGAGCCACCAACCCAGCATATTTACAGCCTTTGATAAATCAAGTAAATGGAAAGTTAAGAGATAAAATATAAGTAGTTAAAATGTGTGTGTGTAATATATATTACTTTTCCACCTTGTTTTTGCATTCTTTTCAAATTATCCTGAAGCATTTCTAAATGATTTTATATTAAGATATAGAGAAAATTTTAATAAATTTCTAGAGAGTACTCATGACATTACAAAAAAAAAAAAAAAGCCTAGAAAATAATTTTTAAAACTGAAGAATCACATACTTGGAATTTTTTTAATGTTCTTAAATAAACTTTGGGTCCAAGAGGAAATTATAACAAATACTGATGATTTAGGAATTACAACCATGAAGATAATTATACTTTACATGCTATGGGATGTATGTAGAAAAGGCAAAAAAGAGGAATTAAAACATTAGGTGAAGAATGAATATGCACATAGGAAAAACTCAGTAACTAAAGTTTTTCAATTTTGCTACCTTTCAAATGAGGAAGTAGTTTGCCTTCATAGTGGATTCATCCCCAGTATGTTATTAGGCCACAATTAACTACTTGGTGACAGATCTCTCCCAATTGAGTTTTAATGTAACATAACAGATTCTAAGCATCTGACAACAATTGATTCTCAAGGAGAGAAAAGCTTAAGTTTCCTTTTTTCTCTCCCCTCCCTGCATTGTTTTTCCCTTCGCAGACCTCCATATAACAATCTTTTCATGTACAACATTTTTATTGAAAAGTATGGCCTTCAGAAAAACAGCATCAGCCTTGCCTGGGAACTTGTTAGAAATGCAGTATCTCAGGTCAATAGCAGCATAGTATTAGATCATAAAATCTTACACATCTACAAGCCTTCTCAGCACAGTGCATTATACATTGTGAATGCTCAATAAATGCTATCCAGAGATGTGTAGAAAAAATATTTGGAAGTTGCCAAAACATTAATAGTATTTATATCTGGGTGGCAGCTTTTTGGATATTACTTCTTTATGTTTTTTTAAACATAAATTACATTAAAAGAAAAAGCTATTTTACTTTTATAAACATTTATGCAGAAATTTTGAAAAGTATATAGATGATGATATATGTTATCTGTTTTCATGCTGCTATAAAGAAATACCCAAGAGTAGGTAATTTCTAAGGAAAAGAGGTTTATTTGACTCACAGCTCTGCATGGCTGGGAAGGCCTCAGGAAACTTACACAATTATGGCAGAAGGGGAAGCAAACATGTCCTTCATTAGGTGGCAGAAGAGAGAAAGTGCAGAGTGAAGAGGGGAAAAGCCCCTTATAAAACCATCAGATCTCAGGAGAACTCACTATCATGAGAACAGCATGGGGGACCTGCCTCCATGGTCTGATCACCTCCCATGAGGTTCTTCCCACAACACATGGGGATTACAATTTGGATTACAATTCAAGATGAGATTTGGGTGGGGACAAAGAGCCAGACCATTTCACCTATGATCCCACAATGTAGAGAGACCCTAAAAACTGTATGTCCTTCTGGTCAATTAAATTACTATTCAAATTTAGAATATATTAATTTCTGCTTCATTCACTTGCAATTATAGACATTTCTCCAAGTCAATTATTTTTCAAAAACATTTTTAACTGCTGCATATTTTCCCATCACACAAAATAGCTCTCACTTTTTAGCCCTTACCTTGCTTCTCAGCAATATTTGACACTATCTACTGCAATATTTGCCCGATTGACTCTCCCTTCTGTCCACATTTCTATTCAAACAGTGAAGCCTGCCCTCATTCCTTCATTAAAAGAAAAAACAATGTGCTCTTCCCACCCAGCTGTCTTAGTTTCCTGGTTAACCTGCTTGATTTCTCTACATAGCAGTCAATGCTATCTGAGATGGCCTTGTTAAATTGGGTGTTTCCTGTCTCCTCCCTTGGCTTCTATGATACACCCTCTCCCTTGTTAGTCTTCTTTGGCTCTGGATGCTCCTTATTGACTTTTCTATCTCTTCCTGAAATTTGCTAAGTCCCTTAGGGCTCTGGCCCAGGTTCATTTTCACTCTGCATACTTTCTGCCAACTTCATCCCATGTCTTCAATTAATACATCTATGTGCTGACTGGACCCTTCTCTCAAGTTCTAGGGTGTATTTAGATTCTCCAGATAAACGGAACTAAAGAAATATAAATAGATATGTAAGAGGAGATTTATTATGGAGGCCAAGAAATATGATATGCTGTCTGCCAGCTGGAGAACCAGGAAAACTGATCATGCAATTCAGCCCAAAGGCCTGAAAACCAGGTGCTCCAACGTCTGTGGGCTGGAGAAGATGGATGTCCCAGGTTAAGTAAAGAGAGCTTCCCTTGCTTTGTTGTTTATGATTGTATCATGTCTGCTCACCTTGGTGAGAGCAGATCTTTTTTACTCAGCCTACCGATTCTTCCAGAAACACTGTTTTACCAGCTATCTGAGTATCCCAATCAAA